TTTGAAAGTCAACAGATGGGTGGAGCGAGCCATGACGTCATGGCTCGCTCCGCCCATTTGACATCCTGAGCTGTCAACTGCTACATATTGTAGCCATATATATCAAATGCTTCTATGCTTAAAGTACAGAGGCTATAGAGTAGTGGATAGAGGTACAGGCTTGCAATTGATTGGCATTGTGAAGTTTGCTAGTTCAAGTCCAGTTTTTTTTTTTTTTCATAAACGAATTTCGGCAGGACTACCGCTAACGAATTTCGTCCGAAACTAATTTAATTTCGGACCCGAAAAACGAAACTAAACGAATTTTTTTTTTTCAAAACGAAACTAAACTAAACTAATTTTTTTCTTCAAAACTAAACTAAACTAAACAAATTTTTTGGCTGGTGCATATGTCTATTAATTTCCATGTGCACTAAATTTTTCAAGTAAATAGAAAAAAACTTAGACACTTACTACAGACCCTTGCTTCTGGCCTTTTTCTCTAATCGATGAAGAGCCTTAGGTTTTCCAGAATCCCACAGAAAGGTCAATTTACAACACTATTGCTTAGCCGGCAAGCCAGAAATCAGGATTTTTGAAATAATGTTTACTTTTTCGAATATTTATCTTTCATTTATTACAGGTATTTATATAGTGTCGACAATTTACGCGGCACTTTTACATAGTGCACATTCACATCAGTTCCTGCCCTCAAGGAGCTTACAATCTAAGATCCTATCTCATATGCATACAGGGATGATTTAGACAGGAGTCAATTAACCTTCTTAGCATGTCTTTGGAGTATGGAAGGAAACCAGAGTACCTGGTGGAAACCCAAGCACAGGTATTTGAACCAGGGACCCCCAGTGATGCAAGGCACTAACCACCTAGCCACTGTGGTGCCCTGTATTAAACATAGTTGTAAGAGTTCTAGGCATTGGGGTAAAGGGGTGTGGGAGGGTATAGGTGCTCTAAGTAATTGATCCTGTAACTGTGGCCCAGAAGATACTGCACTAGTGTAAGCTGTAAAACACCAGACTTTAGTCAAAGCTGGAGCTTTAAGTTTAAAGTTTAAAACCGGCCAGAAGATATGGGTAAGAAAGAATGGACTTCAATAAGCCATATTACCAAATTTAGCTCTGACTGCAAGGCTAGTGTATTTTCTTTATTGCAAGGAAAGCACTTGCTGCAATAGGGATGATATTACGGAAGGGAAAGCTGCTTCTACCAAGATGATGACCCTAAAAGGTATTAGTTAAGACCATTTTGAGCCTCTGGATGTTTTTTTTTGTTTTAGCTTTCAGGTTTCTTCAGATGTGGAATGCTTGTTGAATAATTGTCTTAACATGAATACTGTAATTAGACTAAATAATTTCTTCCAGATCAAAAAGAAGGTCATTTAGGGTAATATTCTGGAAAACAGCAGTTATGTGTCTTTCTCTGATCTGAAAATTAATAATATAATAGCATACTTTCCCATGGTACATGAATCACAAACCAAAAGTAACTAACTGTGTCCCAAAATGCATTTACAGATGCAATTACCTATGTAAATTTAAAATAAAAATACATGCTTTGACACAGCACTCATAATGCATTTGCTTCACAAGGACTCCTGTTAACTCATAACAGTTATAACAGTATAATGAATTTTGCTAATTATATTCAGAATATCTGGTAAAATGAGAGGGTGTCACAAAAACATAGTTCAATGTAAACTATGAAAAAAGATGTTCAAATATCAATATGTCTGTGCATAAAAGTAAAATAATTGTAAAAGCTAGCAACATGTGTAAAACACATGTTAATGATCAAATTGTTAAACATTAAGCATAAACTTGTCAGTACATGAGGCACCAAGAGGCGCGCATGTCCATACTCCAAACATCTTCATGAACATCCTCAGATATCTGGGGTGCTCCAAAATTCATATCCTGATATTTTCTGTTGAGAGCTGGTCTGTCACCTCACTTTTGGAACCTACTTATTGGACCATCTCTGTCATGGGCAGCCTTACTGGTCAGTTAGTTGCCAGGAAATGGAAAAAGGGAGACCAGCTCTCAACTACCTCAAACAAACAGGACCAATGGGCATTCATGAAAATGTTTGAAGGTGTGTGCAGACACTTCTACAGTAGTTGACTGCATTTTAATCATGTGTCAGCTCACAAAACAACTGGTTTACATCAAAAGGATGCTGCCATGAGGTCCAATACCTATAATAAATCTAGCTTCAAACTACTTCGGTTTGTCACTGTGGGTATTTTCTGATGCACATATGAAAATTATGCCCCCTTACATTTGTGATTAGTGAGTAGCATTACACTTTCATTGGTGGTTAGTGGGAAGAATTCTTCTTAAAGTAGTATTAAATTCTAGCCTTCTAAAACTGTTTTCAATAATGAATCCAAACAAATGTATATTGCACAGCAAAGTATTTCTTTACATGTTTGACAAAGCACTTACAGTTATCAGGTTTCCAAACAGCTGGCTCCAAACACAGAGACTTTGCTGTGCCTCTGTGTTTGGGGAGTGTACTAGCACACACAAGGGTGGTTGCATAGTACACTTCCTAAAACAGGAAATCAGGGCCAGTGCTCAGGGGACACGCTGATTCTGCAGGAGGCTAAAACATTTAAACATCAAGGAGCAGCATCCATTGTAAGTGATTTTGCATTTGGAATAGCTTAAAACCCTTTAGACTTTATTATCACTTTAACTTGATGGTCAGTGGGGAAGTGAGCATTTCATTGGTGGTCAGACAGAAGGATGACCCTTACATTAGTATTCAGTTAGAGAAAGAATGTAAATGGCATTGCTAGTTGGTAGGAAGAATGACCCATCACATTAGTAGTCAGTGAAAAGAAGGTACCTAAAGCTGGAAATACACCTGTAGATCTGCAGATTCTCTATGGTCAGATGCGACATATTTCTCCATCTGTGCTAAACTGTGTGGATGAAGGAATCTCCCACTGGGCCAAGCTTCACTATCTTGCTAGTCGGCCCCGCTGACTGTCAAAATACCTGAACAATCTGGATGGATGTAGGCATTGTTCAGGTATTTTGAGAGCCAGCGGGGCCGATTAGCAAGATACTGAAGATTGACCCAGTGGGAGATTCCTCTATCCACACAGTTTAGTGTAGATGGGGCAATCTGTTGCAAAGTTTCCATCTGATCATAAAAAATCTGCACAAAATCTATAGATATATGGCCAGCTTTACATTGATAGTGAGTGGGAAGAATGCTGTTTACATTGATGGTTAGTAGAAAGAATGGCCCTTACAGGCAACAGTAGTTACTTACCTAAGAGATAAAAGATAACACTCTACTTGCACTGCTGGCTCTGATGTTTGGCACCAGAACTATGCAGGCACCATCAAACAGGAAGTCAATTCAATTCAATGACCTGCATGATGCCCCCTTCCCCCCACTTATTACCTGTACCTGCAATGGACTGATACTGACAACCCTGCTGTGAACAGCTGCAAGAGCCCCCCCCCCCACCATTTCAGAGTATGAGTTAAACACATGCCACTTTCCATGCATATGAATAAGGCACAATCACTGTCACAGGGGACAGGAATGAGCTTGTTAAGCCCTGTGCTTGTTCCAATTTTCATAAAGTTTGTTTGGATGTGGCAGCAGATCTAGTGTGGCCAAAGCACAGGTTCCATTTTATTAATTCTGTATTTTATTAGGAAGGGGGTTGTGACTTTTATCACTGTATATATCTGTATTCACCCTCCTCCGCTCTATTCTATAGCATGAACAAAAAAAGATCAAGTGATCCAAGAATTCATGTCTGTAGTAACTTTTCACTTTTCACTTTCAACGATAATAACACTTACTGCAAATAAATACACTAAACACCTCTGAACTTTTAGTAGATTTTAAGTGATGTATTTGATGTTCATAGAGTTTACAGAAAGGAGATTTGAGTTTTTCTATTAACTAAAATAGTATTTAGTAAATAGTAAATATGGCAAAATAGGACAATACACTAAGGGGGTTATTCACTATGGAGCCAAAGATACAGCCGTAGCTTCGGCTCTTTTCGGCCACCGGACCTGTTAAGTGGAACCGAAGGGCTCCTGTACAGGCTATTCAGAATAGTCCATACAGCAGCCGAGCCAAAGGCATATGCTTTGACTCGTCTGAGCTGAAGTGACAGCCAAAGCATGGAGAAAGGTTGGCCAAAGCTGACCGATCTCCATGCAAATGACAGCTGGGCGGAGCGAGCCGTGAACTCACGGCTCGCTCTGCCCAGTTGTAATGACAGATCAGCGTCCCCAAATGACCTGGGGATGCTGTTCTGTCATTAAACAATAACAACTGAGCGGAGCTGGCCTTGGAGTCACGGCCGGCTCCGCCCAGTTGTTATTCATTGACCGGGACCTGCTAGAAGACTCTGGCAGGTGCCGACCAATAGGAAAAAGTTGGGCAGAGCTAGCTGTCACTGCTAGCTCCACCTTATTGTTTTTCTTTTGCCTGCATTTTTTTTATTTTTTATTTTTTATTTTTTCTTTTGCTTTTCTTTAAACTATTTTAATTTTCTTACATTTTAAAACAATTTTTCAACTTTTTTAAAATGTATTTTTTATTTCACTTATTTTCTATTCTATCTCTGCTCGGCGGCATTTGGCTATTCACTTACTGCGGATTGGCCCCTATGAGAATAGGGGCGAACGGCAGTGAGTGAGCTGCCGGAGCTTCGGCTCAGCCGGTCTAAATGTTGGATTGGCGAAGTCGAAGTCCTTCTGCACTTCAGCTCAGCCGAACATGCCGAGCATGTTCGGCTGACCGAAGGCAGCCGATGTACAGCTGAAGTCAGCCGTACAAGCCAGAAATGAATAGCCGAACAGCGTTCGGCTCACTTTACTTCGACTGGGTTATTTACTTGGCTGCCTTCAGCATCTTTGTGAATAACCTCCTAAATACACAAGTATCTTTTGTAACCTATAAATTGAGTAAGAAATAAAATAATGTTTTCTATATCTAAAACTAATTTTTATTTTTTACAGATAACATCTGATGAAAGGGTAATTAAAACTGAATACGGGCTTCTGATTCGTAGTCTACAGAAGAAGGATTCTGGAATTTACTATTGCAAGGCTCAAGAGCACACGTTCACTCACACCCTTGTAAAGCTTAATGTAAAAGTCATAGAAAATGAGCAGATGGAACAGACACAAAAGTTAGAGGATGAGGAAGGCAGAGGGCGAGATATAATGACCGAGTCAAGGCTGAGGTACAAAGACTATTTGCAACTTTTAAGCAGTCCTACTTTCAGTATGGATGAGTATTGTGAGCAAATGTGGCACAAGGAAAAGAAGAGACAACGCAATAAAGGTGGAGCAAAATGGAAACATGTGCAAGAGATTAAAAAGAGCAGGAACCGGAGACACCATGAACAAAGGGAGAAGCTTACTAAAATGTTACCTGCATAGACTGTGTGGACTTTTATATACATATTCCATTATGTACATTTCTTGTATTAATATTCCTCTTTGAACTGGGAAGATCTAATATGTACAAGACAATGTAGTACCAAGAATATCCTAAAAAAAGTGAAGTCAATTCACAATTTTTGTATTACACCTTTCAGAAAATAGAATGGATTTAGGGGGTATAAGTATCCTTTTTGTGTAGTGTTGTTTGTGTGTAGCTCCATCTTTCGGGTTAAGTTAATAATAACTGGTCATTCAGGCTTTTATTTATTAAACTGTGTTATTTAGGTATTGCCGTCTTTCTTTTTTTGTAAGTTATAAATTAATATTGGGATGTTTTAAGTTACTGTTTACCTTTTTTAAATGTTTTTTGTTTTACTATGGAAAGTGGTATTTTTTTAAGACTGCCTGATACTGAGACTCAATTTTCAATGACAGTGTTGCAAAATGTATGCAAAAATAATCAACAAAAATAACACACCAATCATGATTCCTCTTTTTTTTTTACTGCTGCTCTAACAATAACTGATGGTTTAATATCCGTGTTTACACTTTTTTTCAATCTACATTATTGATCATGACTATGATCGATTTCTATTGTACCTGTAGCAGATTTGAGGTGGAAAAATTTTAAAGTTCTCTGACATCAGGAAATTGCGCACAAGACAATAAATATAATTGTTGAACTTCCTAACTTTTTTATTCTTCTTTGCTTTTTTTGTCCAGAAGCATTTTATGCTTTGGCATTATGCCTTAGCACTTAGAGGGGGTCCATTAGAGTAATATTGCGAGTAATCTATGGTCTGTTTAATTATTTATATATATATATGTTATTGTATGAGGCCAAATGTAAATAGATTTGTTAATGTGTGTTAATAAAAAACAAATCATTAGAAAGACCCTTGTGGTTTATTTGTAAAGCAGGGAATGTGACATTCACCAAACATTCACTGGTGATGAATCATTCACTGTATACTAACGTACATTTTCCAGTAAGATTCTCCCAAAGTGAATGTTTGGTTAATGTCACATGTAGGTAGATGGAAGAACCCTCCGCACACCTCACAACGTTCCAGGCCTATGCAACAGTGGTGCTCGCAGTGATGACCATGGATGGCGCCGTGCAGATACAAGGCAGAAGACAAAGATCACCAGCACTCAGTAATATCATTCAATATGTCCATTAATTGGACAGATCGTCACAATAACAAATATTAGTGTTTGTGTTGTCACATCTTTTTCGCCCTGAGGAAGGGACCCTGTGTGGCCCTGAAACGTTGGCATTTGTTATTGTGACGATCTGTCCAATTAAATGGACATACTGAATGATAATACTGAGTGCTGGTGATCTTTGTCTTCTGGTTAATGTCACATTCACTGTTTTATAAGTGTGCCCCTTTGTTTCTATGTATAATCTTTTTTAATGCAGAAAGGTATGTTTCTGTATGTTTTGCATGTTATGCTTCCAGCTTAGAAGTGATGCACATTAAGTTGCCCAAGTTGGAAATGAATCTGTGTGAAAACCTGTGTGAAAACCACTGAAACCTCAGTGAAAACCTCAGCAAAGGTTATATTCAAATGGAGACTTTTTCTCCCACCTTCTGAAATACCTATATTGTTTTATATGATGTATAACCTCTTTGACTACAAGGGAGGCAGGATTGTGGGAAGCACCACTGCTATAGGATGAGTTAAAGCATATCTAAACCCAAAAACAAAAATGTCATATAGTGCAGTTTGCCAGTTGTTAAATGTGGTGGCTGCATTTTTTTTACCAGACTCTCTTAACTTTTTACCAAATGTGCTCTTGTCATCCTGTTGTAGGATAACAATGGTCCATACTGTACTGTATCTATGGAGGAGCACTGTTGATACCCTAGGCTACTCTTCTGATTTGGACTACCAACACTTCCCACTCTTCTCATCTCCATTACATAGGGAAAGGTGGGTTTTGTAATGTGCAGAAGATAGCCTAGAAAGCTGGTAACATTATTTAAAGAATTCCGTGAATTTTACAAATGTTCCGTTGCAGTGGGGCTACCCCTGTACTGCAAGGTGTTAAGCACTAATTTCTTTCTAGTGGATGGAATAAGGAAGATATAATAACCTGATCCGCGATCTTGCCAAGCTTCTAGGCTGGTCCCTGCAGCTTCTTCTCCCCCTGGCTCTGGTGGTCTCAGGACCGCTGATGTCATCATGTCTAATGCAGGTCCATTGACCTTTGTTAGACATGGGGACACCACAGCCACAGAAAGGGAGGGTAGAAGTGTGTGCTGACTGCCATGGGGCCATGAATCAGGTGAGTATATCTGCTTTATTCCATACCCTAGAGAAAAATGAGCACTTAATCCTTGCACATGTTTAAAATGCCTAGAGTTATTCTTTAAGATTTCAGGTTATTGGATATGAATGTACAAGGACATTGGAATTCAGGCAGGATCAATTGTTATTTTTCTGTAGTTGCAGAAAATGTTCTTAACCTGAAAAAAGGAAACTAATGCAGCCACCACTCTGAGGACAAGTAAACTGCTATATATTCAATTTTAGTCCTTGTGTTCAGATATCCTTTAAGCATTATATATAACATCAGCTGCATTTATCTCAGAATCTATTCCTCAGTTAGTCACACACTGAAAGTAACCTCTATGTATGCATTTTTTTCCTATGCTCAGTTTAATATGCTCAGTTCACCCAGATTTGTGAAAGTGGATGTTAAAAATATAATACATACATAATTTCTTGGGCTTTGTTTATGAATGGAATCGAGACTATTTACTTAGCAAAGTGAACATTTATTCTGAAAAGTGCATTTTCATGTTGTGTAAGCAAAAACTCTATTTTGTTACTTTACGTGCACATGAGTGCGCATTCAAACTGATCACAGCTTCACCTTATATACTAGCCTAAGCCTACAAACAGGTTTGTAATGAACATTCTGTTTGCTAAGTGAACAGTCTCTAAGGCCTGTTCACACCGAATGCGGTGCATTCCAGAGCGGTAGCTGCTGGAACGCACTGCAATCCTTCACAAAACCCCCCCTGCGTTCTGGGGTGGGAGGGGGCAGGCGGTGCATTAAATTCAATGTCACCGCTTCCACGCCCCACCCACACCCGCAGTGCGATCGGACGTGTGGCAAAACTTTGCCTGCATTCCATTCCACTGCAAACACAAAAAAATAGAGCAAGTTCTATTTTTTGCATTTGGAGTTGAACAGAACATAGGCAGAGTTTTGCCACGCGTCCGATGGCACTGCGGACGCGGTCCTTGGAAGCGCTGCCATTGAATTCAATGCACCGCCACGCCCCCTCCCGCCCCAGAACGCAGGGGGGGGGTTTGTGAGGGATTGCGGTGTGTTCCAGCAGCTACCGATCTGGAACGCACCGCATTCAGTGTGAACAAGCCTTAAACCTTTAGTAACAGCAACCGTATTCGCTCAGCATAAAAGAAGACATACAATATATAATTGCTGAGATGTAGTAGTATGTTCCACTAAAGCATGGATGTTTCCTTATAAAAACAATAAGACATTTCAGACAAGTTTTAAGATTCTCTATTGATCCTTTGTAGAATTACCACTTTATAAAAGTAAACAAGAAACAAACTTGTATTGACAAAGAACATTTTGACAGAGATAGTCATCTTTATTTGGACATTTTAGATAGCAGCGAGCAAAGATGGTTTGTAAAAACATTTTGTCACTACGGTAGCTGAAATAGTTCCTGAATATATAATTTAAAGCCCATTTCCACCGTTGGAACTGATTAGCATTTTTTGTGGTAATGTAGAGGTGCAGTGATGATGTACACGTGTGCACATTTTCATGACTCACATTGTTGGCTTTCTTAATTTTGTATGGGCTTTTTAGCAGGCCTTCTTCATGTACACCCAGTGTACATTGCTGGCATATGTTTTTTTTTAGAAATACCTCCACAAAGGTGGAAATGGGCTTTAAACACTTGAATACCAGCCTGTATTATTCCTGCATTACCAGGGCATTTTTCAGGTTCCAGTGCTGTGATACTTTGACTGACAATTACTCGGTTATGCAACACTGTCTGTAAGTGAGTTTTTAAAGCATACAGCTTTTTTTAGTGGTAAACCTTTATAAACCTCAATTTTTTTATAATTTTTTATGTATATAGAAAATAGAAAAAAAGACTAACAGTTTTGGGGAAAAAAACAATGTTTCCCTTACTTTTGGTAAAATACAAATGCCAGTACAGTGGGAACATTCCCCAAATGGCCCCTGGTCACCATACTGGAGATGAGTGGGTTAAAACAAAGAGCATAGCAATGGTGCACTAGATACAGCACATAAAGGTCATACACAGAGGGAGGAGGTGGTGAATGGGTATAAGGGGGTTAGTGTACAGATGTACAGGATAAGGGTTAATACAGGCCACTAAAGGGGCAGGCTGGAGATCAGATGTATAGGAGACAAGGGGGTTGAAAGGGTTATGCAGGCTATATTATAATAGAATTTTTTCATTCATCCTGCAGGCTGAATGAAGAAAATCTAACAGATTCCTCCATCCATGCTAAACAGCATGGATGGATGAATCGTCTCCTGCGGCTATTGTATTCTGACAGCCAGGCACCCACCTCTGTCAGAATACATTAACAGTGACTGCAGCTAATTACCAGCAGTCGCTATTCAGCCTAACATTTTCGGCTGTCTGGGACAGCAGAAATAAGTGTCCATACTTCGCTGTTTAAATATATATGGTATTAAAAATGTGGTCACTAGGAAACATTTAATGAGACCCTCTCGCCAGATTTTTAATTATAGTGTATATAAATAAAATAAATACAATATATATATATACACACATATACACAGTAAACTCCCCATTATACAGCATTCAAGCAACCGGCACTCTCAAGTAGGGATGTTCAGATACCAAGTACCGTACTCGGTACAAGTACATGTACAGATACTTTTCCAGCTCCAGGGCTAGACTAGAGAAAAATGCAAAAGTTAGGAGGCAGCTGTCATTTTTAACCACCGAACGTTGAAAATCGGCCGGACGGGAGACTTCTGGATGCGGGTGGGCATCTTTAGACGTCCTTCGTGCCTGTGACTGCGTGTGTCTCCAAAAAGGATATTGCAAATTGAAATAGCCAATAACAGGCTGGCTATTGAAACCCCACACACCAAGCAGAGGATTAGACTGGAGAGAGAACTTTCTCTCTCCAGGCCGCTGCTCTGCTCGGTGGGTGGGGTTTCAATAGCCAGCCTGCTATTGGCTATTTTAAATTGCAATATCCATTAGCAGGCTGGCTATTCTTTCCGCTCACTGAGCAGATGAGCGGACCTGAGAGAGGACTTTCCCTCTCAGGGCTGCTTCTCTGCTTAGTTGGTGTGGCTTCAATAGCCAGCCTGCTATTGAAATTTGAAATTCCTAAAAGCTGTGACTGCATTAATTTACAAAATAGTTTTATTTTTTTGCCAGCCTCTTTTCCCTTTATTTTCACCTTGTGGGTCTGCAAATAACACACTTCCTGTCCTAGGGTGACAATTTTCATATGCTGCAATATGTACTGTATATGGAGGAGTAGTGTTGTCACCATGGGCTCTTCTCATTTGTACTACAAGCACCACCACCTCATCTACATTACAGCAGGGTATTGCTTTGTAGTTACAGAGGATAACTGAGAAATGTGATGACATTGTTTAGGATCTCCGTTCAGTCC